GTTATACAATAGTATATATTATAACTTGTAGTCAGCTTTAGTTTGCTTTCTATCATTTTCGCTATGCTTAGCTTCTAGCGCTAGTATTTTAAAACATTTTGAGATTTTTAGCTTTTAATTAGCCTTTTTGCCACTTTTAGCTTCTAGTCATCTTTTCACTACTTTAAAATCTTAGCTAGCTCTTTTGTCTTTTGGCTAGCTGCATTTAAGTAGCCTTTTAGCTTTTAGCCAATGTTCCGCTCTTTGTTTAGAAACGTAGTTTTAGCTTCTTCAGTGAAGCTCAGCACTCAGGATGATCACTGCAGTCTCTAATCTGTTCATATAGATGTGATAAATATTACAATATATTTGATTTGACTCCTCTCAAACAGAAGTTTGTTTTGAAAAGAACACTGATGTTTTCATTTAAAGGTTCATTCTTACCAACAGCAGGTCATTGAAGAGAAAGACCTCTCTTTGAAGCTGGGACAGTTTCTGTTTGTGGGGTTTGTTTGCATCAGGCACCTCAAACAGACGACAGCAGCACACCAAACGTCTGTGGGGCACAGCAAGGATCTGCAGAAAGCAGGTCAAACAGATGAAGATGACAGCTCGTACGATGCAGAGGACAAACTGAAGCAAGATGATACATCACACCGGAGAAAGGACAAAAAAATCAAAACAAGTATAGCTATGATGAAAGTAAGAGCGTCTTGCACAGAAACGCTGTTACTCACCGTTTTCAGGCCCAGGATGGACTGCTCCACCCGGCTCACATAGGTGACGTGGTCTTCATTTGAGCGCAGCTCTCTCTGCTGGATCCGCTCATAGATTCCTGCAACCATCTCTCTGGGGATGTCTGCTCCATCGTCCACACCTGAGAGGATTCAAGGAGAGGTCCTTGTAGAAAAAAACGAAACTTCAAATATTAAGAGTAACCATCTACCATGAATTAGACCTCAATAAAAATTCTAATAGGTTCTCCTTTTTATGAAGTCAAAGTGAATGTCTGTCCCTGAAACACTCCACAGGACAAAAATCTCATTTCTGCTAAATGTCAGCACAAAGAAGTCATTGTGGAAGAGGAGAAGGTGACAAACGATCTGAAAGGAGTGGGCATTGTGAAGGGCACAGTGCAGTTTGAACATTAAAAAGAAAACGTCTTGCATTCCATGCAACCTTCAGGTGAAAATGAAGACCCCAAACCCAGACCCAAACCAGTGGTTATTACATATGTTGCGGGTGTTTCGGAGAAACAGACATTTATTTTCTAAACATGATGTCCCAGTGGCTTTCAAACCCCAAAACACATTACGGCAAAGGCTGGTTCACCCCAAAGATCCGGTGCCCCGGCACAAACAGAGCAATGTTGTATATGCTGTTAAGTGCCAGGAGGACTGCGACCAGTTATACATCGGGGGAAACAAAGCAGCCACTGTTCAAAAGAATGTCCCAACACAGACGAGCTACATCTAATGGCCAGAACTCTGCAGTTTTCACTCATTTACAGGCCAGCGGTCACTCTTTCAGAGATGAGGATRTTCTCATTCTTGATAGAGAGGAACGTTGGTTTGAGAGAGGAGTAAAAGAAGCCATTTTTGTGAAGAAAGACCGTCCATCATTAAACAGAGGTGGAGGCCTCTGTTTTCAGTTGTCCCCCTCCTACAGCGTGGCTATTGCCAGTATCACTCCACCCCCCTGTTAACAATAAGTGTTAATTAGGTGTCAACGATAGCCATGTGATGTGAGTATCAGTCACCTGGAGGCAGGGCTTAAAAGCCTGAATTTTGCCTGAAACTCTCAGACTGAAGAAGTCTCTTGGAGGAGAGACGAAACGTTTTATTAGAGAAGAACCCGTCCAGAAGACCTACACAATTTTTTTCTTTTTGATTTTTTACCTGGATTACTGAGATGCATCAGGACATCTTGCATTGTGTTGTTGGATTTATTTTGGATAATTCAGGATGGTAATTAAACGAAAGTGACTTGAAAACTGTGATATTTAACAGGTTTTTTTTCACTCAGTTCACATCACAAGCTGTGGCTTCTGTCGAGTTTAGATTTGGTTCTTTGACTTGTTGAATTGCTGCCATGTTTTGTTTTCAGCTCCTAGTTAGTTTAAAGGTGGATCTTGGTTTTATTAAGATCGTTGCTCATATTGAAATCCTGTCCTGAGTGCATTTAGTTTTACTGCTGCCCTTGACACACCTGGCTGCTGTTTGCTGATTGCCACTCAGCCGTTCTTATTAGTCCTCTCAGTACATACACTCACTGTTCCTTCCTCTTTGGTTCTTGTCTGCTGCATTTTGGATTACCATCTGTTGGGAGGATTTATTGGATTTTTCTGCTTTAGCTGCGCCATCGGTCTCTCTGCTCCTGTTTGAAACGCAGTAAAGTTTTATGTTTGCTCCTCATGCTTCGTGCCTGCTGCTCTGCGTCCTCCATCTTCACCTCGCTTTGCGTGACGGTCCGCTGATATTTTCCCTCTTCAAAGTTTTTGTGTGTGAATCACTTTAGTGCTGATTCGCAGGAAGATTAGCACCGGATGCGATAACGCTCTACACTTTGAGATTACAGATTTTGAAACGTTAATGTGTGTTTGCATCATCATTTAAAGGGATTACAGACTAATTAGTTTTGTTTTTGCTGTAGCTGAGGATTGCAAATTCATCCTTATATCAGAATATGTGCACACTTTAGCTCCGTTTTATTTATGAAGAGTTATAGGATGTAATAATTAAAAAAGCGAAATATCTATGGGACGCCAAGTGTAAATTAAAATGACAGTAACGCATTTTCACTATTTAGCTCACTTTCTGACTGTAAAAATCTTGTTAAAAATTTTCCACTATTATTTAATTTTAATTTAGCTCACCATTCTTACATTTTGCACATGTTTACAAAATGTTAGCTTTAAATGCTAAATGTTACGTCTAAAATGTTAAATCCTAAATCTGAACGTGTTAATCTGTTGTGGCTAAATGTTAGTTACATTTCAGTATTTCAGAATGGAATGCAGCCTTTCTTATTGGTGCGCAGCTTTTGTTCTGATGTCATCACCCTGAGACCAAAGCAGCCATTAACCTTGCTAACAATGCTAACACTGCTAGCATTGCTAACGCTTACATACAAGACATCAAATTTGCAGCTGCGGCTAGTGTTTGAGCTGCACATCAAACTGCCAAGAACAGTGACCTAAAAAATGTCTTAGCGACATTTTTTAACATTTTGTTTTACACTTGGCACCACATAACTGTCTGTAGTGACTGAGTTGGAGTCATTTTTGTGATGACTAATGCTGATTAGCTGTGGTGGCCATCTTCAACTTTAAAAAATAATTGTAGATGTACGCCCAACGAATACTGTCTGAGAGTTATAATGAAATCCATCCTTTGGTTCATGAGATACTTTGCTCACACTACAAACAGAACAAAGAGGCAAAACCGTTCCTGCGTTTTGGTTTGGAGATAAGATGCTTATTTCACATCAATAAATCTAAAACCTGAGCGAGCGTAAATGAACGGGGCCGACGCCGCCGTCTCTGCGGCAGAGCTCAGAGTCGAGGATATCAAGAATCTCCAGCTGATGTGTTTCTGATGATGGTAAGAAGAGGCAGGCAACTGCAGCCTCTTTGAGTAATTTACTGCAGTTCAAGACGCTGTCACTCAGAAGACGGATCGTGAGGCGGATATGAGGCAGCTTGTTGTAAAACCTCAGCTCACCCTGCCCTCTGCTCTCATTTTCATCTTCCTCATCATTCTTTCTGGCATTTCGATCGTACGAACCTCTTCAATATTTGCAGTTTGAGGAGTGTGTGTGTGTGTCAGCGCGTTGTGGTTTATCCAATCTGTAAACTCTTTCCTCATGAAACCACTTGTCATAAATGTTGAAACGTGTCAGCTGTTCATCCCGTCAGATCTGTCTGCTGAGGAAGAATCACGGCGTAGACTCTGTGAAACAGAGCATCGCTCTCACAAGGCTAGTAGACACACACTCCCACCTCTTAGATTGCGTATGAAGTCATCCAGGCCCATTTTGCGCTGGGGTTTGATGTTGGGCGAGTACATGTCCGTGTTGAGGAGGACCACGGCGAAGGCCAGGATGAAGATGGTGTCTGGGTTGTGGAACTGCTGCACCACGTCCGGATTGCACATACAGTACCTCTGACTGCCGGGGACACGAACAAAACAACAACAAAGAGCAGAATTATGTTACATATTTTAATTTAGCAGCAGCACTGGTTTGATTTGGGTGTCATGCTTTTGCTCAGAGCACAGATTAGGGATGACTTTCCACTAACACCAAGTTTGAGATTTACAGGTATTTATTTATTTGTTTATTTTTTGCTAAGAATTTTTGGCTGTGGTGGTCATTTTGAATCAGGTTGGCTCTTTTAATCAATTTGTAAATAAACAGTTTCTTCGCCGCTAGATAATTGTGTCTGTGCCAGAGGTGGGACCAAGTCATTTCGCAAGGCTCAAGTAAGTTTTAAGTCTTTATCCTCAAGTCCAGAGTCAAGTCTGAAGCAAAGACAGTCAAGTCAGAGTCAAGTCAAGACAGAAAACTGTCAAGTCCCAAGTCTGAAACTTGAAATTTTCACTCCTTTCGAGTCTTTTTTAAAATGTTGCACTTACATGCTAAATGTAAATAATAAACCACATGCTCTTTTTTAAATCTGTATTTATCTCAAATTGTGAATAAATGTGCAGCTGAACTTACAAAGTATTTTAAAAATCCTTTTAAAATTGCACCTCTGTATTGCACACTTCAAATAAACATAACTGCAAAACTAGTCTTCTTTTAAACCATAGTTTTCAATTTAAAAAAGATCTAGTTAATTTGATCTCGTTAATTTGATCAACGTACACATACATACTGAGTGTGAAAAAAAGATAGACGTCTGCTTTTATTAATATGGAATGAGTGAAATTAAAATGGGGCCCACTTTGTAAATAATGTGTACTAAACTTTAGATTTTAGGTAAAATATCAAGTCCTTTCAAGTAAACAGGGTCAAGTCCAATTAAAGTCCCAAGTCATTGGTGTCACAAGTCATTTTTTCAAGTCGAGTCTAAAGTCATAATATTAATGACTCAAGTCTGGCTTGAGTTCAAGCCATGTGACTCGAGTCCCCACCTCTGATCTCTGCTATCAAACAACAAAAATGTCTGAACAGGGTGGAGTGGACCATGATCATTGACTGATGTTGCGTTCCTGTTGTACTCGGAAACTGAAATTTCAGACTTCTGAGTCAGAAGATTGAAGTGCCTCTTTTGCATTTAAAGAGACAGCACCAAAATTAGTTGCTCTCAGACGAACCTTCACAAGTTTTCTTCATTTTGGAGATGTATTTATGGCTGGTTACTTAATAGAAAACATACACCATTCCAGTACCAAGGTGCATAATACTAATACTACAAACTAATGTTTTATGTTAGTTTGTGCAGTCCTCATTATTGTGTTGTATTATTTACAATAAACATTCTACTGTGTGTATGTGTGTGCTTGTGTGGATGCATGTGTGTGTTTTTGTTTGTTTGAGCAAAATGGCTGATGGTGGGTATGTCCATTCCCTCAAGGAATGCTAGACTTTTATTAACCATCAGTGGTTCTAAACTGACTTTAAGACAGATTTTTACCCTCTGCCTCTGTGTTTGTAACCAGAACTGATTGCAGCTTCTGCTCAGACGAGTGAGACTGACAGGACGGGGGACACATTTGACAGTACAAAAAAAGAGTGCAGCCCCGGGAAAGGTAATGCCACTTTAGAGCCAGCGAAGTTGTGCTCGGCCTTTGTTTGGCCCACTGCTGCCCACGGGCTTCACCGACTCCTACTTCCACCTCTCCACTCCCCACCACAGCCCCCCTCTCCGTGCTGTCACAACAACTTACACAGCGGGGCCGTCTCCGAAACGGGAGGCTTTTATCTTTGCAGCAAGACAGGATGCAGACAAGGAGAAAGATGCTCTGCTCCGAAGGACTGTGTACTTGTCAAAGCATGTGCAAACCAGGAGGCTGCATCTGAGACGGCTCTAACCACAAAACAATTTCCTCCGTCCTATAAGAGATTTAAGGCCGAGGAACTTATAGGACATCAATCACCCAGTCTCGCTGGGAGCCACCTTTATTTAAAGGGAGCTCCGAAGCAGCTCTGCGCTAATAACAAGCACACATACAGAGACACCAACAACACTCCTGATTTACCAAGTTGATGTAACTCTGCAGCAATTTTCCAGGAGCGCACAGAATGTAAATAGGGCACGTGCACCGCCGTGTAGAGAGTAAATGAAGTGGTGAGTCTGAGCATGTGCGTGGATTTATGTTTCATTCACACATTCTCCAGCCCAGATCTCCCTCTTATGTAAGCAGTTTATTTAAACTCCAGCTCCTGATCTCTTAGCTTTATATATATAAACTGGACGCCAGCTGGCACAAAATACCACTTTGTGTAAAAGTATCAACTCCTGCACAACACGCTGCAAACAGATGACATAACAATGATTACGTAACAGATGTGGAATGGGATGTCTGGATTTTTTTGATAAAACACCCAGTCCTTTAGCTTTTTATTTATTTTTTTTGACCTGCACTCAGATTCAGCTGCAGCTTGGAGTTCACTGATGACTTTATAATTTGCACCCAGAGACTCGGAGCGAATGACTGAGCGTGATGTGATTAACTAATGACTGCAGTGGGTGTTCTGATTGTCCATCAGATCAGAATCAAAGATCATTTCTTTCTCCTCTTGAACAATGAACAGGCTTCTCCTAATAGACTGCTGAAGATGTGTTTTTCTTTACATGGCGACAAAATTTAGATCAACACTTAACTGGTTTTCTCTAACAAGATCTAAAATCAACACTTTTATACTCTTAAGGTCCCAAAAAACAGAGCATGCTGGATGATAGTTGCTTTTGCAAATTTAAAAATGTTCTGTTTAATTATACATTTGAACGTTCTCTCTGCTATGTTTCATTCAGTGCTTAAATCTGTTGCCATTTTAAAATTTGGTATACATTGCAGGTCTCTCTTGCAAATGAGTGTTTCAATGAGACTCACCTGTATAAATAAAGGAACTGAAATTTGGAAACAGAAATAGCATATTTCCCAGAGAACCTAAAGCATCATCAGTATTTTAGAAGTTTCTCTGAAGAATACAAGCTCTAAAATACCATAAGATCTTTAAAAACAACTTTTCTGTCATGCTTATTATACAAAAAATAGTTGACTCCAACAGACCACTCGAGTAACACTCAGAATATGGGTTATAAAAACTCTCAACTACTATTATAACACCAAATTTTAACAAAAATATGTCAAATTGACAGAGTTTTGCTATTTGATGTGTTTTTTAACATCATTTGAGTGTGTCGGCCACAGTGGATCAGGTTAACAGATGTTTACATCCGATGAATTTTATCCAGCAACCTTCTTATTGAGAGGCAACATCAACTGAGCCACCTTGCTGTCCACCTCTAACGTTATCCTTGAGTTAAAAACTGCTCGAACAGCTTTTACATCAGACAGTGTGATTCATCAGAAAGGCTTCTGACCACACAGTTCAACAT